TAAGTAGCTGGGACTACAGGCACCCGCCACCACGCCCAGCTAATTTTTTGTATTTTTAGTAGAGACGGGGTTTCACCGTGGTCTCAATCTCCTGACCTTGTGATCCGCCCGCCTTGGCCTCCCAAAGTGCTGGGATTAAAGGCGTGAGCCACCGCGCCCGGCCTGGAGTTTCAATATTTCTAGTCTGCCATAGTACTAGAAAGAAAAGAATCATTACTGACATCTTTACGACATTGAGTTTTTCTCTTGTACCTGGTATATCTCTTTATTTCAGTAGGTATTCTTTTATGTGCTTTAGTAAGTCTTTATATTTTTAGCATAAAAGTGTACACATTTCTTGTTTTACTTATTTCTAGATACTTTGTGGTTTTTGTTTATAATACGATTGGGGTATTTTTTCTGTTATGTAATTGATTACTATTACTATGTACTAAACTTGGTTTTTGTCTAAGGATTGTAACATTGATGAACTACTTTAGTAGATGAAATGGTTTCTTCATGAGATTGAATTGTCTAAAGAGATGTTGGTATTATTTGTAAATAAAAGTATTTGCCTATTCCTTTCTATATGCCTTATTTCTTTTCTTAATTTATACTTGTAGCTTGGATTATATGTCTAATATTGAATGTCTACAACACTAATTAGTTTCCTCATCTTGACCCTTTCTTTAAGTGAGGTTTGTTGTTGTTGCTGTTTTCTTGTGAGACAGGGTCTCACTCTGTCACCAGGCTTGAGGGCAGTGGCATGATCACTGCTCACTGCAGCCTCAACCTCCCAGGCGCAATCAATCCTTCCACCTCAGCCTCCCAAGTACCTGGGACTACAGGTGTGCACCACAATGCCCGGCTCATTTTTGTATTGTTTGCAGAGATGGGGTTTTGCCGTGTTGTCGAGGCCAGTGTTGAACTTCTGGGCTCAAGCAATCTGCCCTCCTCGGCCTCCCAAAGTGCTGGGATTACAGGTGTGAGCCATTGTGCCTGGCCAAGGGAATATTTTTAATGTTCACCATTAAGGATGATTGCTGTAGGTTTATGGTTTTATTAATTAAAACTATTTTTGGCTGTATTTTTAATTGTATTTCAATTTAAATTTTAATTGTAAAAATAATTTTGTATTTTTAATACAAAATTAGCTGGATGTGGTGGTGGGCACCTGTAATCCCAGCTACTCGGGAGGCTGAGGCAAAGAATTGCTTGCACCTGGGAGGCAGAGGTTACAGTGAGCTGAGATCGCAACACTGCACTCCAGCCTGGACGACACAGCAAGACTCCATCTCAAAAAAAAAAAAAAGAGAGAAAATGTAGTTTATGTACACAAGGGAATAATATTCAGCCATAAAAAAAGAATGAGATCCTGTCATTTACAACAACATGGATGGAATTGGAGATCATTATGTTAAGTGAAGTAAGCCAGGCACACAACAACAAACATCACAGGTTCTCACTTATTTGTGGAATCTAAAAATCAAAACAATTGAACTCACAGAGAGAGCAGAAGGATGGTTAGTGGAGGCTGAGAAAAGTCATGGGGGAAGTGATGAGGGTTGAGGGGTACAAAAAAGAAAGAATTAATAAGACCTACTATTCGATAACACAACAGAGTGACTACACTCAATAATAATGTAATTGTACATTTAAAAATACCTAAAAGAGTATAATTGGATTATTTGTAACACAAAAGATCATTTGCCTGAGAGGATGGATACCCTATTCTCCATGATGTCATTATTATACATTGCATTCCTGTATCAAAACATCTCATGTACCCTATAAATATACACACCTACTACTATACACTGTTACTGTGTCTATTCAGAAAGAAGTAGACATAAGAGACTCCATTTTGTTTCCAGTTGCATGGGGTATCTTTTTCCATGTCTTCACTTTCAATCTGTGTGTATTTTAGTAGGTGAAGTGGGTTTCTTGTCAGCAGCATATAGTTTTATCTTTATTCATTCAGCCACTCTATGCCTTTAATTGGGGAATTGAGTTCATTTACATTCAGTATTATTTTTGATAAGTAAGTACTTACAACAGCCATTTTGTTGCTTGTTTTACTCCTCTCCTCC